GTGACACTACTAGTGTTAGTGTCAAAAACGCTCTTATATTATGGGACGGAGGGAGTAGCAATTAAGACTGCAGTACTGTTAGTTTGCTAATAAAAATTAACACTATCCAAAGCTGGGTTTAATCACAGCTCCTTCCCAATCCGAGATTGAAGTTGAAAAAGAAAGAGCACACACATCAAAGTTGAAGCCATACACCTAGAAACCTAGCAGAATCTCCTTCAAACTGAGGCCCTCCACCTTATCTTTTGCAGGTGTACACTAATTGGACTGAACTTGCATGTGTTCTGTATTCACATTTGTTTTCTACATGGTATAAGGAATTGTAATCGATTTCAGGACCAAGGAAACCCTGGCTAGTAACAGAACTGGCGCAGCGTATTTCGGGGGAACTTCCCACCCACAGTTTCATAACATGATCAATGAGAGCTTCTGTCAAACAAACTCTGAAGAAGGAAACTACACATTCATACGTCTACAGCCTACACAACACAGGGGTGCATCTTCTCCAAAGCAATTTTAATTTGGAGCGAGCTATAGCAAAGAGAATGTGACCTCGGGAAAAAGGCGCTCACCGATTTGAGGTTGTTGTTGAGCTTGAGCAGGTCATCCGAGACGACATCCAAGAGCGAAGCGATGGACACGCGCTCGGGGAGCCTCGCCGCCCCGGCCGCCGCGCTGGCAATGGTCTCAGCCGCCGGCACGTCGATCGCCGCGAGACCTGCACAGACGAATTTTAGTACCCCAGCTTCACTCCCAGCAACGCTGGTACCACAGGCAGGACGTGTGCTGCGTAGTGTGTTGTACTGAACGTCTCTGAACCAACCAGCAGAGATAAGATAAGGCATGGTAGTAAGAGAGACAGAGACGCACAAACCTGTCTGGCTGGGTGCGGCCACGAAACAAACACATGGCGCGCGCCGCCTGGGCGCCGGGCGCGCGGCCCAGCGGCGGCAGCGGCAGGCGGCCAGCAGGCCCAAATCCACGGCGTTCCGGCTCATGTGCATCCTCGGCGAGCTCACAGACAGCATCTCGGCAAGCTCGCTCGCTCGCTCGCCCACCAATATCCAAGAACCTAGGCTCCAACGACGCAGGCCAGCTCACGCGCTCGGAGCTCCCAAGAACCGCAAAATCTCTGGAGACCAGCAGCCTCTCTTGTCCTTGTATGACAGCCGCGGGAGAAGGAGTGATGCTGGCTGGCTGGCGATTGGTTGCGTGCGAGAAAGAGAGAATCTTGCCCAATTTGGTGACGATGCCGCCTTTCTTGCCCCTTGTGCTTGCGTGGAGAAGGAGAGACGGGGAGGAATTGGATGGAGGCTGGCGGCTCCGGTGGGGGAGTGGTGGTGGTGGTGGGAGAGGGGCCGTGGAGGGAGGTTTTAAAATGTGGAGCCTGCGGAGGAGGAGAAAGGGGGATTTGTGGATCCACGAGGGCCATAGAACCCAAGCCCTGATCACGAGCGAGCCAAGCAGCCGATGCCTGACCGTGTGTGCGTGCGAGAGAGAGAGGGCTCTATCACCTCCGAGTTCCGATTTTGACTTGCTCCACTGCCTTTTGCTCTTTGGTCCTTGAAAAGATGTGGTTTTGCACCGTTGCCGTCGTGCGTGGCTTAAAGTAAATTTTAGGTACCTACACGTGAAATAACTATCGGATTATTTCAGGGGTGAATGTTGGAAGTTTGACCTAGCGGCGCGACCCCACTCATCATGGTCCGGCGCAGAAGAGATTGATGGCATAAGGACTGTGTGGGGGTAGATCTAGGCATCGATAGCCCGACCTGGAAAAATCGTTTTGGGGCCTATCTCGGACTTGAGAAGAGAGTTGTTTTGGGGCTTCGGAGGCGGGTTCGGGCTTGCGTTTTGATTATTTGAACTTGTTCTGGCCCGACAAATGCCTAGGTCTAGTGTGGGAGGAAGAAGAGAAGAAGGAGAAGGGAAGGGAAGAGAGGTGGACTAACACTACCTGTCGTGGAATTGTCACGTCAGATGTCCTAATGAAAGGACTTAGTCGTGGAACCATCACAACTAGGAAGCTTAAAGGGGTTAATCGGGACAAAGGACACGAGGTTTATACTGGTTCGGCCCCTTACGGTGAAGGTAAAAGCCTACGATCCAATTTTGAGTTGGATTGGTTATGACTCGATAACTAGGGAGCGAATCGCTTGACCTAGCCCTCGATCTGATGTTACTTGCCCTGAACCGCCGCCGGGTCGTCCCTTTATATACAGAGGTAGACACCCAGCGGCTCACAGAGTCCCGGCCGGCTCATAAACAGTGTCCGGCTCAATCTCTTAACTATTCTTGCCTTACAATACAAGTCACGTACATATGGCGGTTTATCACTACGGGCCTTAAGTCGCCTCTGGGCTTTGGGCCCTTAACTGAGCCGCCATCTTCAACATTGGTTGGGCTTCAAGAATACTTGTGGGTATAACCCGGCCCCTCCTGGGCGGGTCATACCAATAGTTATATCCCCAACATTAGGCCCCAGATTGATTTGGATTGGTTCATGTCAATCTTCAACACTTTAAGAAAAAATCTTCTGCTCTTTACTTATGAAATTTTCGTAACCCGCCATGAGGTCATCCTTTGGATTTGTGGTAACCCACCATGACGTCACCTGCCATAAATGCACATTTTGTTCAATGTATCCCAACGGATCTTTATCTTGATGACCATCCCGAAAATCGAGGCGTCCTTGTAGTTGGATAACTTATGTTTTTCGGCTTCCTTGTTTTTCGCGCTCTTTTAGTGGTCCTTCCTTATAAATAGACCCGACTAGGTCTTTCTTCATTCTTCCCTTTCTTCATCTTCTTCCTCTCACTCCCAACTGTCGCTTGAGCTCCGCCGCCGCCGCAGCTCACCTCGTCTCCGTCAACCTTGGCCGGTGCATCGACCTAAATCCGACCAAAGAACGGCGGCGCCCCTCCGCAACAGATCTGCCGCTGTAAGTTCTCCCCTTTCAGCATCTCAGATCCATGCTAGGGTTTGCAAGTTCTTCTGTACAGTACGCAGTTCATCTCGGTTTCTTCATGTTTCTTCTGTCGCGACCTCTTTTGATCCAACAGCAGCATAGAACTCATGCGGTAGCTGTTTCGCATCCATTTTAGGCACTAGCAGATCCTTTTTCTTCGTAAGGAAGCCTCATTAGAACACATGAACTCCTCCGTACCATGTTTGAGGTCTAGAAATTTTTCTTTTTTAAACAGCCATTTGATCCAAAATAGTAGCTGCAGTTTGTGAAACTTGTTTATGCAACACTTAGGCAAAAATCTAAACTTGTTAGATCCATCTAGCCATGGCGACTCTTATCACCGGCTTTAAAGAGGCAATGCTCAATTGATAACCTTGACCACCCATGGCGGTTTAAACAGCTTTAACGGCTTATAGAGCCTATGGTGGCTTAAATAATCTTGACATAATTATCCTTATACAATTAGGCCCCTTCATAAGCCGCCACCTTGAATATGCACCGTAATGTTTTTTCCTCTCCGGCTTAAATTTGAACCGGTACTTTTACTCTATTTTAGGCTTTCATCACAGTGGCACCAAAAACACCCACTTCCTACAACTGGGTCAAATCCATTATCACAAACAGCACCCTTGACGATTTTGTGAAGACCGGCTATCTGCCGAAGAAGGAAATCATGTCTTATTGTGCTCCTAACCCGGAGGAGGAATTTCGTCAGCCCAAAACGGGAGAGGTTATTGTTTTCATGGATCACATGAACCGGGGTTTCTCTCCACCCGGCTCAAAATTCTTCAGAGATGTGTTGCATTTCTTTGACCTTCGCCCACAAGACATTGGACCCAATTCCGTGTCTAACATCTGCAACTTTCAATTATTCAGTGAAGTATATCTTGGAGAAGAACCCAATATTTTACTCTTCAGAGAGCTATTCTACTTGAACCGCCAGAATGAGTGCGCCAACGGCCAGAGCTTAGAACTTGGTGGTGTCTCAATTCAACGTCGTAGGGACGTAAACTTTCCTTATGCCAACCTGCCGAGTCATCCCAAAGACTAGAATCAGACATGGTTTTACTGCCAAGACACCTCTCCAGATGGTGAGAACCCTCTGCTTGGTTTTCATGCTCTACGTCTTGGGAACAACCACCCGCTCCCTGACAAGATCACAGCCGCCGAACGCAAAACACTTGCCCCCACCTTAGCCAAGATCAAAGCTCTTCTGGGTAACGGGTTAACTGGCATCGACTTAGTCCGGGTTTGGCTCGCCTGGCGGGTTATTCCATTGAGCCGCCGCCCCGGCTTGATGTGCACCTATACAGGCAAAAAGGATGACCCTTTGCGGCAAAACCCTGATGACTTGCCTGAAGATGTTATTAACGATATGACTAAGTCCCTTTTGAACGAGAGCCTAGCAGATTGTGGTAAAGTGGGCCTAGCCCCCTTCTACGAAGCTAACCCGGCTCCACAGGAAAACCGCCCATCTGAATAAATTACTTTTGTTTTTTGATATTTTACCAATATTCATACCTCTGCTAACTCTCACAGGCGGGTGACAAATTTTGGAAGGTCAAATACGACCATGAAGCTGCAAAGAGAGCCAGGAAGGCCAAGAAAGCCGCCAGGAAAGAGGCTGCCAAGAAGAATGGCAAGAAAGCCACCACCTCCAACTTGCTTCAGCTAGAAGATTCTTCTGAGTCGGAGGTAGCCCTTGACTCTCTTGGCTCCTTTTTTAATCATCTTATTGACACTGATTATCAGCAGGAGGACACAGGAGCCGGCCGTAACAAGGCTGAAGAGTAACTATCATTTCCTCCGACTTCGAGTCTTTGCCAAGACAGAAAATCTGCAGAGTAACCCGGAAAGTAAGATTTTCACATCCCTTAGCTTATCAAGATCCTCAATTTCTTTTGAAGCGGTAGATTCATGAGAGCCAAAGACAGACCCGGACTAACAAGGATGCGGAGCTCTCCTCCGGCTTGCCAAACACTCCAAAGAAGCGCCGGAACGAGGCCACCTCCGATTTAAATCTCTTTTATCCTTTGGCGGGTCTCACTCGTCAACCACTCAATTCTTTTGACTCGGATTATCAGGAAACTTCCCCTTCCTCCGGCGACTCAATGCAGTCCAATCTGCCGGCTTTCAAGACCGCACCAGGGTAATGATAATCCGCTTATCCTGTATTCATTTCTATTCATTGCATTTGCACTTAAACCTTTTGATTTTATGCAGTGGACAAGCCAAGCCCAGCAAAAGGGTCAAGAAGAACAAGCCGACTGAAGACACTGTCGTGACCGAGCCAGTACTTGGAATAGCCGCGCCTGAATCATCAACTCATGAGCCGCCACCTGAACCGACTCAAGATATACCAACTCCAATTGCTGACCCACCTGCTGAGCGAGCCGTTGATGGCTCAGAAAACCCGAAAGCTCCTAGCCCGGCCAGGACGGATGATCCTCAAGACACTGATGTTGAGATCACCAGAACCGGATTTGCTGAGCCGGTAAGGTCAACCGTGCTAGCCAAGTGTTCTGCCAAGGAGGAGCTTCTGGAACACCACCCGGTCAAGCTTAACATCATGTACTATACTCACATGAGTATTGGAGAAGTATTTTCTGGCTACATGAGCCAAGTGCACAACAGTCGTAACCTCGAGATTGACATGGTGAAGCAGATGCACCAAAAAATTGAGGTACAACCCTTTCTCTGTATTCATTTATCTTTACTATGCCAGCCCCCAAGTCTATTGCTTATGATGAATATGATGTAGACTTAGAAACAAATTTAGTGACATTAGTAACATAGATGGATAAAATATGCAAGAAGTCCGGCTTACTCCGTAGTCCCCAAGGGGCGGCTTAACTAGCATGGTTGAACCGGTCCTTCATATGTTTGTATAAAGTAAAATACTTACAAAGCTTTGAACAGCAATATGCATTAGCCCCCAAGTGCCAAGTACTATTGCTTGCAAAGTGCTTGGGACTTACTGTCATGAACCGTCATGTTAAGTAAAATTCTTCGGTAGACATTAGCCCCCAAGTGCCAAGTGTTGTTGCTTGCAAAAGGCTT